ATTCATAATATTGACATGGTGATCAGTTCGACCTAAATATACAAAGCAATAAAATTAGAAAAGAATTAAGAAATGACAGGGATAGTGCCATTAAATAAGGGATTTTAAATAAAACATTTAAATTTGATTTAGAGCAAATTTAATTTGTGTTCATATTGATAACACATTCCTGCTTATTTATATGATAGATGTGACTGAATATCTATAATGCACCTAATATAGTTAAATTAAGTATATAATCAAACCAAAAAATTACTTTAAACTTCATGGGTTTTCTTATCATACATTTATATTTTTAAAATAATAAAACAAAAATTATATTTACATTTTTAGAAAAAAAAGCAACAAAACCTTTGGTTCTTATACCTACCTACTCTAAGTATGTTATAGATTATTAATTGGACGACAATTTTGATTAAAAATGATAAAACATTTAAGATAACATAATTATTCTATAAGGGATGCTAATGGGATATGGTTACTTCTGCTGTTATAATTACTGAAAGATCTTTTCAAACTTTTATTTAAATGATTTATTCTTATATAGAACTTTTGAAGTAGGGAAAATTTGGAAGAAATACATCTTTTTAGACTTTTAATTAATTTAAAAAACATAATGTGCAAAAATATTATTATACAGGCATTACATATTACATTTTGGCCTATGACTTATAAGTTAAAAACCAAAATAAAAAAAGGATTTAGAATCATGTAAAATTTTGCTCTTGCCAAAAAATTAACATATTCATTTTTATGAAAATACATTAAACAAAAATGAATATATTACATGTTAAAATATTAAATATAAGCAAATTAATTATCATAAAATANTATTACATGTTAAAATATTAAATATAAGCAAATTAATTATCATAAAATAGTAAAATATAATGTAAGAAAATCATTTTTTTTTTTTTATTAGTTATATAATAATTAAATGTACCCATTTTTGAGTATATTAATTTAAAAATGACACAAATTAATTGTTAAAGGAACTGTATAAAATCAAGAATTGTCACTTTTTAAATTAAAAAGGAAAGATAATATGAATTTATAAATATTTTTTGATGAATCACACCTTTGATTTTTGTTTTCAATTATATGTGTTTACTCCCGAAGAAAAATTTTTTTGCGCAATGTAAACAGCTGAAAACTACAGTTTGATTCCATAACTGCCTGTGGATTCAAGCAGACAAGTTCAAATCAAATATGAGTTTTTTTATATAAGAATTTACAATACCTAAAATAAAACGAAGCAAATACAGGCTTATCTAAAATATATGCAAATTATCCATGAAAAGACAAATTGAAGTTGGAACGATATTAAGTGCACTATCCAAATCAAAAACATGACAAAACTATTATTGATATTGATAATGTATGTATTATTATGGTATATATGAAATTATAGGGTATAGTAAAATTATCAATATAACAACAAAAAAGATAAATTTATTGTTAAATAAAAATTAAAAATGTTAGGAGACTATTTTGTACATTAGTTACAACAGCAATTAATTCAAGAAATGCTCAAGATGAATTTCATTTTAAAAGGAATAGATTATACTAGGATTTATTTATAAAGAAATATTTTAATAGATTATAAATATTGCTTCTTTAATATCATTGACAATCTTAAACTTATCTTTTTTGAACACAAGCTTAAGAAATAAACTAATACTGAAATGGGTTTGTTAATTTATTAGAAAGATGGATAAGACTATAATTAACTAGTAATGACCTGATACTAAAAAGTTAAGGATAAGAATGTGTTATCATTATGGTTGACAAAAAAAATCCAGACGAATTGTTTAAAAACTGAGATTCTTTTTTTTGCATATTATTTTTAAGTATATATAAAAAAAAAATGATTATCAATAAATGTTTTTATTTAAAATTAAAAATAGCTTCTTTATGCCATATAATAATTATTATTGAAGTCAGGTTTATTTCTACAAAAATACTCGGTCAATTGGTTGATTGAAAAACCCTGTGGGTTTTTGGACTTTCTGTATAAAAACCTAATATGTTGGGTATAAAAAAAAATTGGGTTTTACCAACCCTGATTATATAAAATACTGAACAATTTAAATTACCTTGATTAGGATCAGTCATAGATAAACGTCCAAGTCTAGTGGGTATTTCAGCTAATACACTCCTTGTCATAATTCGGTTTGTTGGCTCTGGATTAAATGGAGGAGTTTCCATAATAATAATAGTCTGAAATAATAAAATTAACTTAGAGCAGTAAAATAAAAGTAATAGATAACTCATTCCTAATGATTATTTATGAGTAATAAAAGAACCACCTAATAGCTTCATTTGTATAGTTTACAAATTTTAAAAACTTTCATAACATTTAAAAAAATAGAAAAATTTAGTAAAACTATGCTGAAATTTGGCACTTAATTCGTGAGTAGATAAAGTAATGCCTACCTAAAAGAAATATGATTGGCTAACTTCAACAAGTGTTTTTTTTTGCTTAGTACCGGCGTATTTTAATAATATAGCGGCATCAAAAATGTTTTGATGATTTTGCAAAAACAATGAAAACGTCAACAGTGCACACTATTATTCTGAAATTTTGGCTTCTAAATTATTATAGAACACTTGACATAATTTTCACAAAATTTCATTTAGTATCAGATACTGATCAATAAAATTACTTCTAAAAAATTTGGATGTTAACACCTGATTTCTACAAAATGTTTAACAACGTTAGCTTGATAAAATTTAAATTAGTTACACCGAAATAAATTATTGTAAGGTAATAATTAATAGCATGACATAAATCCACCATATATGTCAACAATGATCATTAATCGTCAATAATAAACTAACCTTTTTTAACCTCTCGTGAGCTATGACAAAACGGATTGCCGCCAAAATCGCGTTATGTTGGACGTGAGTTAGGCGGCAAATGTTTGAAAAATTCGTCAGCTGATAAACAATTAAATTATTAAGTTGAAAGCTGTTAGATCACATGTAAATTTTGAATTTCAACGGAAAAATAACTGTATTTATTACCACTGAAATTCACAACAATAACAATCCATCTGTTGGCAGACAATAGACTAAATCTTTTAGTTACAAAATAATGTGTCAACAAATCTCGCACCTCTGTATGGTACAGTGATATTTCGTTGGAAATTGTTATGCACTGTGCAGGGATTTTAGCGGGAAAAAACGGTTTGGAGGTACCGCGACCCTTTACCTGTATGACAAAACAATGTTTAGTTGGTACATGATTGGTGGGTTTTCTAGAATACACAATCAGTGGTTCTTAATAATGATAAATATAGCTATTGATTCTCAAAATATTGTATATAATATATAGGTTATGGTGTTAAAGTCATTTAAAGGCCACAACTTACAATTGATTTTATTCAACGATTATAGCTGTCCCTTAACTTAAAATATGGAGAGATACTACTATTTACTACGGCTTGCCAGTGATCGGTTTTTCATTTAACCAAATCCATTAAAAGGGACTAAGTTTACTGAATAGATGCTTGTAGTGATCAAAATTTTACCGCAAAATTTATATATATTAATTGGATATTTATATTTTAGATTACATTTACATAAAAAATATCTAAATTATTTAAAATATAATCGAAAGTATTTAAAAGGATATTTCAAGCTTAAAATCGTCAGTCTAAAATCTTAAAATCTATGTCTAACATATCTAATTAAATCCGCTATGACTCAAATTTTAATGAAACTAGCTTTTGTTTTCTCATGTAAATTTTATTACGTACCGTCCATTTATGTTCTAAACTTATATAATTTTATACATTATTTAGGAACTTCAAAATTTTAGAGTTTATTGAATGTATGAATTTTACTATAATTATACAATAAACAACTTCTATAAACTTGTAAAATGTATATATGACTTTTTAAAATAATTATTTTAGAAAGTCGTATCTAAATTAAATTTCTAAATAATTATAAATAAGATGATATTAAATAATATACTTTCAAAACAATTTGAAATACCATCAATCATTTCCATATAAAATTATAAAAACTATTTAATACAAAAAGAATAATATTAGATTTATTTGATGTATTATATTTAAGTCATTTCAAAGGTGTTTATATAGAAAAAAAAATTAAGATTTAGCTTAATTCAACCATTTATAAGTAATAAAATATAATTATTGAAATTAAAAGCTTTGTATATTGTAAAATAAAGATTTACATTCAGATTGAACAGCAAACATNCAAGCCGTTAATACTATTCTGTATAATTTTTTATTGGTTTCCGTACCTATACGTGAGTGCGTATCATCAATATATATATATATATATATAAATTTTTATTGTTTATTATTAGATATAAACTTTTAAAGATTCAAATATTTTTGAGTTAATATACATGTATCATATATAAGGGATTACAAATACAGGTAGCTAATTGGTTTTCTATGACGATATTAGCAAGCATATAGCCTTTATTATCAATGGTAATAAGACACATTGTTGTGAGTCTAGAAACACACTAACTGGCAATACAGAAATTATATCTATTGATAGTAATTGACATTAAACACTCTGCGACTGTAATAGCGATGTTTATAAAAACTAAAAAGTAAAAAATAAATATATTTTAAAAAACCTAAAAAACATTTTTTAAAAGCATATTGAAATAAAAAGTTTAAAATAAGCTTAAAACAATAACGAACGAAAAATACTAGTATTATTGTGATAAAAGCGTGGGTGCTTTGTGCCATATTTTTCGTATATTGAGCGCCCGACGCTTTTTAACACGCTTATATTAGTTTCACCTGTATGTATCTATGTATGTATGTTTGTAATTCTCCAAGCGACATGCGTTATCGCATATTCCGTCGTCTATGGCCTTGAGGCTAGACTGTCATAACGCATTCACCCCACCCTGCTCACCACTCACCTACAACACTATTCCTATATAAATTTATTTTTGGTTATCGTACCCGTGCTTGTCATCAATATTACATATATATATATATATATAAACAAATTTTTATTTTGACTGACCAATACCATCCGCGTGTCATACGGCTTACGTATATATTCCTACCGCCGTTTATACCTCAGGTATAACGTTAGTCCGACCCGCCCGCCCACAAAACACGGCTATACCTAGTGTATGACACGTTTACATACTTAAGTCGCATTATTTGTATATATACATTCTAATTACTATTAAAATTTATATATTAACACGCTTTATTCTAATTAAGAGATATAAAGTATTCATATTCCCGTATCGTTATTTTTCGTCACTACCTCCACGTTCCGGGAGTGAGTAATTTGCACGCCTGCTGCTTTCCTTGGATGTGGTAGCCGTTTCTCTGACTCCCTCTTTGGAATCGAACTCTAATTTCCCGTTACCCGTAACAACCAAGATATTGATAGTAACTACTATCATAACATGAAACTAAAAAGTGAAAAATAAATATAGTTTAAAAAATCTAAAAACACGCTTTTAAAGCACATTGAACTAAAAAGTTAAAAATAATTATGAACAAAAAATACTAGTATTATTGTGATAAAAGTGTGGATGCTTTGTGCCATATTTTTCGTATATTGAGCATCCGACGCTTTTATCACATTAATACTAGTATTTTTCGTTCATTATTGTTTTAAGCTTATTTTAAAAATTATTTTTAACTTTTTAGTTTGATATGGTTTAAAAACGTGTTTTACAGTTTTTTTAAACTATATTTATTTCGTACTCCAAACTAACAGCAATGTTCGGCCCCAAAATTCCTATTTTTAAACGTTCCAAAAACAGTTGGAAACAAATAGACTAAACATGCTATAAAGCGATATAGAAAACAAACAAATATTGCATAGTGTAGTCAATAATGTTTTAAAATTTTGCAAAGAAACTTTAAATAAAAAATCAACAGAGAGACGTTTATACAGAATTTTTGGAACTTGTTATTATTTTTTTAGTTGGTATACCACCTAGAGATATTCACTTTCTACGTCCAGGAGCTTATCATCATGCTAGAATTATGTGTAAGGGAATTTATTGTTTAAAAATGTTATTATTTCACGAACAATTTACAATAACAATATTAGAAATTGTATCATTAAAAATAGTGTGTTGTTTTATATTTAAGTGTTATGTAGAGTTTTGGTTTAGATGTCCCGATACAATTTAAGCATCTTATAATAACATTCTTTTTTTGAGAAGACTTGAAAATTATAAAATTGATGACCCAAAAATAGCTGAATTGGTAATAAAAAAATGTATTAATCATTTATGGTATCTAGTGGAAAAAACAACTTGTTTATCATTGCTTGATGATCGTATTAATAATAATACTAAAAAACAATTTATATGTTCCTACAGCCGTCGCATATGCCTCGCGTACAACGTTCCTCTGCTCTTCGCCCAACCACAAAACACTGCTATAACACGTGCATGATACGTTTACGTACTTAAGTCGCTTTACATGTATATATATATATTTTAATTACTTTTAAAATTTATATATTAACACTCTTTATTCTCATTAAGAGATATAGAGTGTATTGATTCTGATTACGGAAGATGATTCCCGTATCGTTATTTTTCGTCACTACCTCCACGTTGCGCGCTTGCTGCTTTCCTTGGATGTGGTAGTCGTTTCTCAGACTCTCTCTCCGGAATCAAACCCTGATTTCCTGTTACCCGTTACAATCATAATATTGATAGTAACTATTATCATAACATGAAACTAAAAAGTGAAAAGTAAAATTTATTTTATTCAGTTTTTTGAAATTATATTTACTATAATTAAAAAAAAGACGCTTTAAAAGCATGTCAAACTAAAAAGTTAAAAATATTTTTTAAAATAAGCTTAAAACAATAAAGAAAGAAAAATACTAATATTATTGTAATAAAAGCATGGTGATTTGTGCCATATTTTTCGTATATTTAGCGCCCGACTTATCTAGGAATTATTGCGAATAATCGTCTTTATATTAATTTTTAATAATAGTGTCAATACGTTGATCAACACTCCCCTGTCAATGCACAAGAAGTTCCAATATTTTTTTTAAACAAATATTTTTATAAGTCCAAAATATGCGGTAAAACTGTTATAGTGTCACATGTGCAACTATGAGCAGTCGAACCGCGGTACCATTATTATAGTGTGACAGTATTTTAATGTATTTTACAAATTAAAAATGACACTTACTGTATATATCTAATATTAACTTTTAAATTTTAACTTTATAAATATTTATTAATTTACTTTATTAATTGTCATAAACTAATTTATAACATAGCACTGATATTTATTTAGGATAAGTATCCCATATCAATTTATTTTTCAAAAATTATGTTACATTACTTACGGGGATTGGTTGATGATGAAGTAAATGGATATGAATCTTCTATGAATAAATATTGTGATGATGTTAGGGATTCAAAGAAATATAGCAAAGAAATTCGAAAAATATTGGGAAAGTTATTAGACAGGATAATTAATGAAAGTATTTATGATTTATTTTTTTTTATCTTACGTATACAAAATAATTTTTTTATAACCTATTTAATTACCCGTAGAAGAAAAATAATTTAAAAATTTTATTTTATTTTTTTTTAGTTGCATATTATTCTTGAAGCTATGTAATACTTTTTAATTTCATCCCTTATGCTTTGTATGGGTGTGAATTTTGTTTTTTCAAATGGGAATACGTATTTTGTAACTAATAAAATGTTTGACATTTTATTATAATATTAAACAATATTAAAACTAATTTTGCCACTATTTATTTATTAATAAAACTTATTCATCTTAAAACACATTTAAAAAAAAAAAATATTTACTCAGCTATTAAGTAATCGACTCGTGATTGGTAATATAATCCCTTTACTATAAATAATTAAAAATATTCTATAAATATAAAAATTTTCCATTTCAGATATTATTTATTTTATAATTTCAAGGGCAGCAGCCCTTTTACAAATAATAAAAGTACATAAATTAGGTAATCGTAACATAGACAAAGATATATACTAAAAATATGTAAATTAATTATTAAACGCAAAGATAGAAATACAAAAATTAAAATGAAAAATTAGGGTCAACATTGGCATTAGACATAAGACGCCTAAGTGGCTCATTTTTTGCATATTTAGTTAGATAGTGGGAGACAACAAATGGAGCATTATTTCTTGTTGCTTGCTGAGGTATTCTGAAACATATGAGGGGCAATAGGTTCGGCGACTCATTATTGCCATTCAATAAACCAATTAGAAAATTAATTCCAGCATTGCGTCTACGCTCAGCTAATGAGGATAGGCTAAGCAAATTCGAGATAGGGGCATAATCGTGATTAGGACAGACTAAGTTGATCGAGTAGCTGACAAAGCGTAGGAATTTTCGCTGAACTCGCTAAAGCTGTAGCGAGCCCAAGGCAGTATAAGGATCCCACATTACACTACCATATTCTAGAATAGGTCTGTCTATGGAACAGAATAGTACTTTAAGTGAAAGTCCTTGCTTGAAATCTTTGGCCAAACGCATAATAAAACCTAACGCTTTAAATGATTTACAGTAAACATAATCAATATGAAACATAGGATCCAGATTATAACTAAACTTAAAGCCTAGATGTGCAATAGAGTTTAACTCACTCGAGATATGTACTTCAGTAATACAATAGTGAAACTCAACAGAATGTTTTGTTCTATGATACGTAAAGACCTTGCATTTGGTTAAATTAAGTGACAATCCCATTGAGTTTGACCATTCAGAAAATCTATTAAGGTCATCCTGTAATTTCAAACAGTCATCAATCGAGCTTACATAGTTAAGCATAAATAGTTTGATGTCGGCAAAACAAAGAAAATGACAATGGTGCAAAACTTTATACACACAGTATAATAATAAGGAAAGTAGAATATGGGACAAGTGACCTCCCTGGGGGACACCAGAAGACGCTAAAAATACATTAGACTTAACGCCGAATACTTTTACCCTTTGGTATCGGTCACAAGTATAGGAACTAATCCAAGATAGAAGTGGTTTACCAAATTTATATTGTCTAAGTACAGTAATAAGGGTCGTATGATCCACAGAGTCAAATGCTTTAGTGAAATCATTGTATATAACATCTACTTATAATTGATTTAGGAAAACATTAAAAATATAGTTGGTGAATACAACATTACAGGTGGAAGATCAGCGACCCTAACGAAAGCCATGCTGTTCTTCCATTAAAATGTTATTAACAGGTCTTTGAATTCCATTAAGTGTAAGCAATTCAAATATTTTTGATATGTAGGACTGTATAGCAATAGGACGGTAATTTGAAATTAGACTAGAGGAGCCCGTCTTGAATACCGGTGTAATGGAACTAAGTTTGAGCCTTCGTCTAATGAACGCCCTAATAAGATTCATAGAGGATATGCCAATATTTCCCTTAGTTCATATAAAAATGTACCGGATAAGCCATCTGGACTCACAGAACCAACACCCCGTAAGTTTGATAATTTATGGAAAGCGTCATCAACACTGAACCATACGTTTTAGGAATGTCAAAGGTGGGAATATCTAGTTGGTAAATTAAGACATTATTTTTTTTAGCACAGTAAACCGAAGAAAAGAAGTCAGAAAATAGATTTGCAGTCGTAAGCTTATCAGAAGAGCTCACGTCGTTGTATGACAAAATTTTACGTATATTACTTGACGACCGTTTGCTATTAACATATTTCCAAAATTCATAGGGTTTATCTTTGAGTAGTTTTTCAGCATTACTAATGTGTTCACGATAGCATTTTTTAGAAGTATATTTAAATTTAGCGCGAAGATATGAAAATACTTTTAAGTATGACATGTTGGAAGAGGACTTAAACTTAGCATGAGCTTCCCTTTTTTGACGCAGTATAATTTTGAGCTCAGCACTAAACCAAGGAGGTTAAGTGAATTCATAAAATCTACATTGAGGAACAAAGTCGAGAATTAATATATGCAAAGTATCATAAAATATATTAGTAGCGGTGTTAGTAGTGTGAGGGAGAAATGTGTTATACCAGTCGTAAGAAGAGATAAATTGCCGAATACTATTGTAATTAGCTCTCTTGAAGTTATAGAATAGATGGCTGCGATCAAATCTAGAAAAACAGATATTAGTGTTTAAAATTAGATTTAGTGCAGGGTGATATGCGTCAACAGGCACAAGTGGATCGCAAGATTTTTCAACACTTATCTGTTTATTAGAGCTAAAGAGTAGATCCAAAATATATTATTAGATGCATTACGTATGTTGTTGGCTTGAAAAAACCCACTTGTTGCGAATGATTCAAGTACACATGGCGCACGAGTTGATGAGGAATAAGAATAAGATAATACATTACTATCGTTGTCCCAAGAGATCTCAGGAAGATTGTAGTCACCATAGATAATAAAAGTTTGATCAGAATACTATGTTAACAAAGATTCAACGGCATTTATATGTGATTCATAAGTATTAGGGGAGGGGAGAATGGGGAGGCATGTAGACCCCGCTACATGGTACCAACAGTAAGACGAACAAAGACGTGTTCAACATTCAGTTGTTCTACTAGGATAGGGTAGGAGGGAATACCTTTGCGAATGCCAATGAGGACTCCACCACCACGATTATAATTACTAATATAAGTACATCTGTCATATCTAAAAATATTATAGTTAAAAAGATCAAGTTCAGAATTTGAAAATTGACTAGTAAGCCAAGTTTCAGTGAGTACAATGAATAAACAATCTAAAGAAGAAACATTACAATTAAAATGAGGTCCACGACACTTTTGGTAGTAACCAGACAGTTGACCATGAAAAATCGACGGTGTTAGGAGCGGATGCGCAGTTGGGGTCCTCCGTTTTTTGAAGAAATTTTACCTATTTTCGGCAGCTCATTTTCAAATAAAATTCGCAGGCCAGGTTCGCCTTCGTTTGTTCTCCTGTCAAACTCCAAGTGACACTCACGCAGCAACTTGAGTTGTAAATTGGTTTTATCACTTACCATACGAAAACCATCTGGGAAGAAATAACCCGAGCGCCTTGCTGGGTTGTAGGCCGTTAATAAGTGCATAGCGGACTGCTTATTATCGAAAATAGCTTTAATTGAGCGAGGTGTAGCAGTACGAGCTTTACCGATGCGAATGAGTTTTGGATTTTGTGGAACAGAATCACCAAGGGATTGAAGTATATTCTGTACCGTCAGTTTATCATGTGCAACATGCTCAGATGCGATACCGGAAGACAGATCAGGAACTCTATAAAAAATTAATTGAGATTGACATTTTTCCTGTTCAAAAGTCTTGAAGGACTTCAATCACAACCGTTTTTGGTAGTTCCTCGGAATTATTTTATTTGAGACTAGCAATTATTCCTTTGAGAATATTAGTTTCTTTACATAACCTTACTATCTCGGCTTTTAACTCGAGCATTTCGCTGGAAATGCGGGTGAAATCCACCTTCAGATCACGATACTGTTTGTCTTGAAGTTCAGAAAGCTTTGTTAGAAGTCAAAAGTTCCTTCTTAAAGTCTTTCAATGCACCCATCAAATCTTCATTAGATATAGGGGTAGGTAATTTAGTACTGGAAGCCTGCCTTTAATGTAGTTTTACATCGAGTATCCTGTTTTAAAGGCATAGTGTTTTTTTAGAGATATGAGATGAAATTCAATTGATAAACGATAATACCCACTCATTGAAGTCTCCAGGAGGTGTGACTAACGAGATGAGTATCTCAATTATAAACAAAATAATGCACCAATTGAATAACGGTAAAGACCAGTGTTGAAATCACCAAGTAAACTGCTGATCAGCAGTATCAGACAAATGTAAAATAAAATGTATGAATTTATAAAAGTGATAACGTACCAGTTTGTCAGATGAGACGAAGAACATAAAAATTATATATGTAACAAAAATGCGATACTAGAGTACGAAAATATTTGAAACGACACTGAATTAAACACAAAAGACTAATTAATGAATAAAATCAAACTGTGGGTAAATTAATCCACAAATTACATAACAAATGTTAATTACAAACAAGATCAAATATGTACTATATCATCGATATACCATAGATAACCTTATACTATAAGGTTTAATATTAAATTTAAATTTACATCAGAAAAAGAAAATGTTAGGAATTCTTTTAATTGGGGGGTATTTTTGTAAAATAGAGATAAACAGATTGCAAAATAATAACTTAACGTTGTATCATATAGTTTTATTGGGATATTATTAATTAAGTTGTTGTACATTTTGGCGAGGTTATAGCAAAGTTACACGAGTGCATTATACTTATAATAAAAGCTAAAAAATGAAAACTCTTTAAAAATGTAAAGTAATTTTCTATAGAATTAAGTAAATTGAAATTGCTCTAGTATATATTTAGAAAAAAATACCTAATCTCAAAACTTTTAATTTTTATGCAACGATTATTTTATCATTTCCATCCTATGTATAGTAATATTTAGTAACGAAGTATAATAG